CCATGTTGGGTGATTTCGGTCCTTAGCATGTGCTTTAGATTCTAGGATGAGTTTTCGGCCATAACATGACCTTAGATTCCCAAAACCGAAAACTCCAAGGTAAGGTGTAAAGTCCATGCTTAATGTCTTATTTATTTGATTTTTTGATGACTTATAACTACCATTAGTTAGCCTTGTTGACTTTGAAAGGTTTATTATGAATATGGTTTTCAAAGTATATATATTTATTTATACCAATGATGCCTTTGGGTGTAGATGATCCATTGCCACAAAGTTAAGATGTAGTTTCACCTATACATAATACACTCTTAGACTTTGTTCGATTCCAACTTTTCCAGTTGTCACAATAAATATGTATAGAGATTTAAGGTTAAACTACTGGTGGCCCTGTATGAAGATGGATAAAGCGTGGTTTGTAGAGTGGTGCTTGACGTACCAGAAATTCAAGGCGAAACATCAGAGACCCCATGGCAAAATGCAGTCGTTACCCATTCCCATGTGGAAATAGGAAGAGATTATTATGGATTTTATTATGAAGTTTCCAATGATGATGCGTGCAGTCGTTTTTATGTGGGTCATTGTTGATAGGTTGACCAAGAGTACTCATTTCATTCCTATGGCGGAGAGTATATCTACCAAGAAGTTTGTGGTTTTAGATCAAGATGTTAGTTTCACCTCTAGGTTCTAGAGGAAATTTCATGAGGAGTTGGGTACTCAACTACATTTCAGCACTGCTTACCACCCTCATAATAACAGGCAGAGTGAACAGACTATTCAAACTCTTAAGCATATGATTCGGGCATGCATGCTAGATATTGATGGGAGATGGGATACCTACCTTCCATTAGTTGAGTTATCCTACAACAACAGTTGTCATGCTAGTATCGATCGACCTCCTTTTGAGATGCTTTATGAGAGGAAGTGTCGGACCCTGGTTCATCAGAAGAGTTATGTTGACCGTAGACGATCAAACCTTGAGTTCCAGGTTAGAGGCTGTGTACATCTGAAGGTGTCACCTTGGAAATGTGTCATCTGATTTTGGAAGTGGGGCAAATTGGGTCCCCAATATATTGATCCTATCAAAATTATCTCCTGTGTGGGTAAGGTTGCATACAGTTGGGATCTATCGGATGACCTCAGCCAAAACCACAACACATTCCGCCACTCTTAGTTGCGGAAGTGTATAATGGATGATTCATCAGTGGTTCCTTTGGAAGATATCTAGGTTGATGAGCATCTGAACTACATGGAGAGACCGACTGCTATCCTTGATAGGAAGAGGAAGACCTTGCACAACAATGTGGTGGGCTTGGTTAAGGTGAAATAGCAGCACCAGAAGGGTTTAGAGTGGATGTAGGAGCCTAAGGAGGAGATGAAGGAGCATTACTCATAGTTATATGCAGCGGAAAGCTTCGAGGACGAAGACTGACTCAAGTGGGGGAGAGTTGTAACATCCATTTTCTCAGGTATGATTTATGTAGCAAATTTATGACTTTTATGCATTTTGGGTGCCCTACGTAGGGCGCTAGCCTCCTACGCGGGGCGTAGGTCAATAAGTCTGTGTGAGGGTTTCATGTCCTATGCGGGTGATGTGTATTATAAGTACTAATTTTAAAACCAACTAATCTAGACTAACCAACAAAAATAGGCAGTGTACCTAATTGATTAATAGGACAGTTCAGGTAAGTCGAGTATCAAACACGGGGAACGAAAATAACAGCTAAAAACTATCTACCAAAGTTATCTAAGTAAATTAAGCAAATAAATAGGGTTTTTCCTAGTTTTGCAAGTCTAGAAACTTAAAAGAAATTAGAAAGGAAATACTTTAGAATAAAGAAGAAACAAGAAAACAATTTTTAATTTAAGGTATTAAAGAGATTTTTGTTTAGATGCGATTCACTTTCTCCTTGATTTCGCGAAAAGTGCAATGGATTATAGTGTTATCAATTACCGATTCCTATATTCATTAGAATTATGATCAAAATACTAATCCTTTAGCTAAATCAATTCATTCATTTAGTGATCAAGTGAACAAATAAACAAGAAAACTGATATGAAGTTTGAATTATGGAGAACTTGTAATTTGATTAATATAAATGGTTTATAAACATCAATACAATATATGCTTGTTCTTCATATATTAACTTTCATATCAATTTATAAACTTTTCTATTTAACCCTACATTTTGGTCAAAATACTAGTCTTATAACCTTGTTACTCATAAAATCATAAGATTTAAGCCAACTAAGAAATATAGTTCATCAAATCTCAATTAAACTCAGTAATGAACAGAAAAGAAGGTGTCATTAACATAAAGAGTTTCTTTTAACAAGCATCCATAATAAATAAGGAATTAGCTATAATCCAAATTCGCTCAATCAACACATATTATGCAAGATTATCTATTATAAATGAAAGTTAGGGTGTTTAGCCCATAACTACTGGACACAAATAGGTAAAAACATAAACCACTTTGATAAACATGATCAAATCACAGCAATAGAGTAATTAAGAGTATTGTTGTCTTTATATCTCTTCAAAATCAAGATTTAAACAATTTTGCACTCCAAAACCTCCAAGGGATGTTTCTGGTCTCCAAAAGTCGTCAAAAATGTTTAGCATAAGTTAGGGTTGAGAGCTAAAACGATATATATATATATATATTATATATATATATATATATATATATATATATATAGTTGTTAAAAATCACCTCCCATGTCATGGCAAAATAGGCTCCACGGCGTGGTGACTGCTTCAAACGTGTATTCACCAAGGCATCTTCAGATCATGAAAAACCAACACGCCAAGACATGGCTAGGGATCCCCACGTTGTGGCCTTTAGATTTCTTGATATATTTCGACTCCGATTGACTTGGTCTCAAATTCCTGCTTCAAGCTCTGCATTTGCTGCGTTTTCATCCCAAGCATGTCTTCGCTGCTAAAAACAGAATTTAAACAAATTAAGTAAATTTTGTCCTATAATAAGCATAAATGTAGCTAAAAGTATTATGAAAATGTAAAAAAAAAAATATATCATAAAATATGCACATATTAAAATACCTCACTCTTGACTTTTTCTTGCCCCTAAGCAAAACTGATTTTATTATTATCATACCATCACATCAAAACCCTAGCCATTAGCATTGCACAAGACAATCCATTTTGAGCTCATCCATTACATCAAGACCACAATGCATATATTTGTGTCTAATTTTCCTAAAAAAACTCCCTCAATCCTAAATACTCACAATCCTCATAAACATTTCTCAGTCAATTTGAACAACGTTTATTTTTGGCATTCTTACCTACTATACCTTTCTATTTACCCCCTTTTGTCTCAAAAGTTATTGTCAAATGTCAAGTGACTTAACAAGAATGAAAAAATACTATATAATATAATTATCCTAAAAATATAACTAAACTTTTTGTTGCAACTTTATCATTTTGTGGATCTCTTTTTCTCTTTTTTTTTCTTTTTTTTTTTATCTTTTCTCAATGATTCAACTTTCCATTATCACACATAAGCAAATAAATAACTTAAACTATATCTTAGTTGCAAATTTGCTAATACTTTAGTTTGTGACTTTCTAAAAGATTCATTGGAGTACTCGCAATCCTTAGGTCACTATTGAAACCCATAGCTTTATATGAAACCCCTTTAAATGATAAATTTCTTTCCATCGATCCCAACTTTTATAATTAGGTGGATAGATATATAAACTACCTTTGGGAGGAATACTCATCGAGTTCTAAAGGTCACAGATTGGTCTCACTCCTGAACTATTCCTTATATTTTTATATAACTAGACTCAACAATGCAGAAAAGTAAACAGATAAACTTGGTAAATTGACTCGCTTTATTTTGATAGAGAAGACCAAATAGATAAATCAGTCAGTGGTAGGTTTTTTATTAGGTATATGTTTTCCTATAGCAAAAATTATTACATCCCTCAAACTTGGCAAGGTTGTGTTTTTCTCTCATGATTTTACTAGGACAGAGAAGCCACAAATATACTAGAACATATGTTGGCTCAAATAAACATCGAATCTCGCATCAGATCATCCCATACAACATTATCAACCTAGGTGTCAACACAACAATACAACAATTTTTTTAAACTAGATTCAATTTTTAGACCATTATTTCAATTCTCTCTAAAAAAAATTTAATCCTAGTCAATTTTTATTATATTTTTTTTATTCAGATTGATTGTTATTCCTATATTCAACCCCTACCCCACACTTAATTCATGTAATGTCTTGTCCTCAATGCATGCTTAAGACAAATAAAGAACATAAAATTAAAGAGAGAAATTGGAACATCTCCCCTGTGATAGAAGTGGTGAGGTCGAAATCGAAAGTTATGTGGATGACATCTCGTGAAATAGCTAGAAAGCAAGACTTTGGACCATTGCAGGAATGATCTCGGACACGCCAAGACAACGAACATCCAATTGGTGATGAAACACCAACTCAAAAAGTTGATCTTAACATTCTCCGCGTTGTGGCTAGATAATGCCACATCGTGGGTTGCTAGTACTGGAACATCATCGTGAATTCTGCCTCCACCTCACCGTGTCATATAGTGGCCACGTCGTGGCTGTTGTATCTTTAGAAAAATATGTCTTCTGTCCAATCACGAATCTGATTAGAAAAGGTAATACCAAGGTGGTATACCCCTCTTATTAGGATGTAAACTCATGTCTTACAGTAAATATGGCTTATAAAGCACATCTTTCGCTCAAAATCTTTCTTCAAGTTGCAAATCTCACCCTGCACTTATTCTTTTAGCCACGTTCTCGGGAATTTCTAACGTATTTTATCATCAACCAAACTTCTGCACAATCTAAAGACACAAACAAAAGGGTAATAAAAAAGGAAAAACAAGTACAAAATATAAAATTACGCAAATCCTAATTACTTAAATTCTACAAATTAAACACACAAACTTAAATAGTCTTAAAACACCAACAAATAAAAACAAAAGCAAGGATAATCAATCCTCCTCGTCATCATCTCCGTCTCCAGCCTCGCTAGTGCCTGCACCTCCTATATGTTTTGTCCAACGTTCATCCCAAGTAGGAATATAAGTATAATGATTTGGCACTCCAACAGAAGGTGTAATTGCAAGATGATGCATAATCGCCTCCAAGCTATACCCCACATAATTTAGCCCCCGTCCCACATCATCATCATATCGCCTAGCCATGACATGATATGGTTCCATAAAATCTCATCAATCATGGGCTCTTCTCCCTCTACTTTTGGCCTTACATTCCAACACCCTTGTAGTGCCTCAACCGGATCATCATTGGGAATCATGTAGTTTCCACCCCCCCCCCCCCCTCCTTCCCCAAAATCCAAAACAATATGTGCAGTCTTGAATAATTGAGGCTGGAACGGGCAGCTATGCACTACGGTAAGAAAACTTGGCTCAGAAGCATCAAAGATTCCCTAAGACCGGGCCAACTTGGTCACCAATATCTCTCGATAAATAGGATCCCCCGACTTATTTTTCCCAGCTTTGTCTGTAAGGAAATCTACCACACGGTACGATAAGTGGCAAAAAGTATTTGGTGTGAAGATACACCATAAAAAGAATATATCAAGGATAGGAATGTGGTCTCCCTCCTTTTTCTGATTGATGGAGAATGCTATCAATCGGTGGATGAACCTGTGGATTGGTGAACGGATGCGCCCTTCTGAAGCTGAACCCGAGGTATAACTTCCATTTGCAATGGTTGTCCACCACTTGTATTCGTCAATGCCTTGAGGTAGATGTTTATGGCAATGATCAAGAAAAACCAAAAACCCTTCACTCATTACTTCAGATTGATTGTAGAAATCCAACCTTCAAGCAAGCTCCACCCAACTATATTCAAGCCTCCTCCCACCAAGACAGAGTGTGAAATTTCCCATATCCTCAACTTCCTCTCTCTTCCTTTAAAGATTATTGTCATGTCACCAACTATTACAAGAATCATGTCAAATCATCCTTTAACATGCAAAAAACTGGTTATTATTGGGCAACATTTGAAAAGTAAAAGTGTTTTTTTTACAAAGACTTTATTTAGATAATATTTTTAACCATTTTGTGCCATGTTTGAGTGCCTCTTTTCCCTTCTTATTTTTTCCAAGGTACATGTGGTTTGGTGCCAAGCTAGATGAATCGTTTACTCAACTGGTTGTTGTATTGCAATGGTGGTTTTGACAAGACGAATAGGAGAGCACGAATTTGAGGGAGAACAGCCATGTGGAATCCATCGCCATTATCATCACTTCCCCTCAAAATAGCATTCATCCTCTCTTTCTCTCTCACTGCATCTTCTTCGTCTTACTCTCCCCCAACCCCCAACCCCCGTTATCATTCCATCTCAATTCCGAAAGTCAACTCCAAGAAACCCTCAGCGACCACCGCCACCACTGGAGACATACTCGCACTCCTTGGCACACCTCAGCAGGCTGCCTCCGTCGACCCCCAAATTGCTGCTGAACTTCAATCCTGCTTCAAGTTCATCGTTCCTTTTAATCCTACTACCAACACTCCACCTGATTCCCGTTTCAATTTAATAAATCGGCTGAGTCAATCCCTAACCGAATCGGGAATTCAATTTCCGCGGCGCACGCTGAATTCTAAACCCCGTCGTGACGCTGAGGGTTATCAGAATGAGCTTATCTGGTCACCACCGGCACCTGTGTTGGAGATTGCTCGACTTGCTTTTGATTCTGGTGGCGATCCAGGTTCTATTCAAGGCACCCTTGATCCCACCATGATCTACGTGAGTTTCTGTATTCCCTTACCTTTTCTTCATCATCAATGTTCCTTATTATGATAAAATCGATACCTTTTTCCATATCCAAATTTGTTACAATCTTCCCAACTCCGGGCTATGCTTAGAACTGTGTAGAAAGTATCAACTGTTACAAATTAGCAATGTTCTGCAATCAAATAGCTTCATACTCGGACCTCAATCACTCAATGTGCTCACTCTATTTCTTTCAGAAGTACAAAAATGGAACGTAATTGAAGCTTCCTTTAACTATATCACAGGTACCTGATTGTGAAGGCTCAAATGAAAATCGATGTGAACTTACAAGATATCCTTATGGAAGGCACTTTATAAACGAGGTTTTCACTATAAGAGTTCAATTACATTAAGGCTTATTTTCATTTTTGTACTATAATCTTCTTCTTCTTCTTCAAACATGTTACAGGAATTGAATTCATACATGGAATTTTTGTTCCAACTTATTGCTTCTCGTGGTCCTAAAGTTGGGTTAAATGTATCATTAAATCGATTTGACTTCTTCCATGGTCATCTTTTCATTGCTGCAGATGGAAGAGTTGGTATTTTGTAAGTTGAAAGTTATTAAATATTTAAATATCTATTTTTGATTTTTCTTTTTATCTTGATTGACTATTAATGGGTCATATATCGAAAGGTTTCATGCTAAAGAATACCCTGCATTTGATAAGAAAGTGTTCCCATACAACATGGGTTATTGCCAAAAAGGTCATATTCTTTTCCTCTTTTGCTTTTTAAGGCTATATACAATATTAAATTTCATCATGTTAATTTATAATAATTTGGTAATATTCAGGTTCTAATGTGACATATGATGACTCGATGAATCTGAGGAACATTCTATGGCTAGCCCCTTTGCCAAGTGATTCCACCAACACTTGGTCTGCACCTGGTAATGAGGATGAGGGTATTTACGTCTTTTGTACAGATGAAACCTGTGCAAAATGACCAATTTACCCTTTGTGTCTTTGACTTTTATTATGTTATTGACAGGAGTGTTGGTGGTATTGGATGCGCATCCTGGTGGAATTATATATCGGGATATCATACCTAACTATGTAAAATATGCAAGAACAATATATGAAGGTTAAAAAGTTTTTACATAATTTGTGTTTTTTGACTTTGACTAAAAATACTAATAAGTTTATAAATTATTTAGATTTCTTGTTTTCTTTTTGGCAGATGATTTCGGTGATAATGTGGTTGATGTAAACTACCTAAATGTGGGCACTGCGAAGCCGGACTATCAACTATTCATTTGCTAATACATGAGCATTGAATCTAGGGCTATTTTCGAAAATAGAGATGAGAAGGGCATTTACGTCTTTTCCACATAGGAGAGATTGAGTTGAGAGCATGTCGATGTCCCATCTTTTGGGTGTTCATAAAAAGTTGCAAATTCTGTGTCAGACTCAGTCCAATTAATGTCAAACACAGTGCAATATCGTTTGGTTAGGGTTATCGCGTGTAGCAAGTGATTTGTTGCATTTGAGTTTCATAAAATGATAAAAGTTATGAGAATATTGAAATTGAATGTATTCTGTACCATATCCATGATTATAGAGATCATCATTAAGATAATTTGTATGTGTTTAAGTTTTTTGGAAAAAATAGAATATTTTGAGGTTTTCAAATTCATAAAATGGGATACGGATAAATCCGATCATGAATGATGAAAATTTGATAGAGAGCATCCAAGACGTAATTTGATTGGTTACAATGTATTTTATCTGTAGAAATAGTTAAAAGTTTGAATCTTATTAGGTATAATGTGATAGTTTTAAATTTTGGGTTAATCTTATAAAAGACTTTGTATTTTGTGTTTTTTTCGGATTAAATCTCAAATTTATTTTTTGCCTGAAAAAAACTTTGTATTTTTTTCATTTTTTCGGATCTAACCCTTTTAGTCATTTTTTTCCAAAAACAATTTGTAAAATGTGAGTTTTTTTAAGAAAAACTGAAAAAAGTTGAGGGTTTATTTGGATGCATTTAGAAGGTTGAAGGTTTTTTCAAAAAAAAAAAAAAAAAAATACAGAGTTGTTGGCTTTTTCGAAGAAAAGATCAAGGTTTTTTTCAAGCAAAAAATTAAAATTGAAGTTTAATCCGGACAATAAACAAAATATAAGGTTTATTTTATGAGATTAACCCTTCAATTTTTCTGTTTCAAAAGGTCGGTTTTTATTTTTATTTATTTGTGTGTGTGTGAACAATATGGTTTACATTTTACATGTTGTGCATGGGGTGAGAGAGATACAACAACCCTTTTCATTTTTAAATAATTTAATTTAGTCGATTGGAGAGAGAGAGTTTTTTTTAAATATAAGAAGCTAGTATGTGTTTTTTAATCAACTTTAAAACTATAACAGCTGAATATTGTTCACAGTTTGATGTCGTATGATATAAAAAATAGTGATAATATTAAAATAGTAGCAAAAGAAAATAGGGACAATATTAGCAAGTAGCAAAAACAACCAGCAGCAAAAACATTTCCATTGCCGGGAATCGAACCCGGGTCTCCTGGGTGAAAGCCAGATATCCTAACCGCTGGACGACAATGGATTATTGATTGTACTTCTTGGAATTTGAATAAAGTCTAAAATATGGAGATAAATTCAAATTCAGTGTTACTGATAAAATATGGAAATTTAATGGAAATAGCGACCTACATACAAAATATGCATCTGTCGTACGCTTGAAATATATTCTTTATGTAGAGAATCCGGCTGTCTTTACAAAAACAAATGTTTTTATTTTAGTTATTATTTTGAGTGTTATTATATTAAATATTAGGTCATCAATAGTACTAACACCTTATTTTAAAGTATTTTATCAACTACTATCATGTATATAACTATATGGGAAAATGACTTACCAAGGTAATTAACTTTTCGGTATGTTCACATATAGGTAACTATCTTTTTTTTTTACATATTTAGGTAACAAAGTTGTTGGAAGTGTTCACATATGACCATTATGACCTGCTATAGCAGGTTAAAGCCTAGATGCGAACACTTTCAACAAGTTCGTTACCTAGATGTGTACAAAAAAATAGTTACCCAAATATGAACAAAACAAAAAGTAAAAATAAATTACACGAATGGTCCCTGTGGTTTGGGGGAATTTGTTTTTTTGTCTCTAATTTATTTTTTTAACTTGGATGGCCCATAGTGTTTATTTTTATTGCGTGTTTGGTCCCTGTTTGATCTAAAAGACTATTGTGTCCTTATTAACTTATTTTTTAATTAATTTTCTTATTTATGTATTTATTTTTTATATATTTAAAAAAATTAATAGACCTCACATATCTGTATCTCCTCACCATAAACCTGAAACCACGTTTGAGAAATTTAATTTGGGTCTTACCGGTCACCATCCCATCTCTCATCCTCCCCAACTTTTATTTCTTTTCCATCTTTAGTGACATCGACGTCTTCATCATCCTTCTTTTTTTTGGTACTTCAACTCTGGCGAACCAACACCATAACCTACTGTTTCTTCATATTTAGTGGTTGTGGTGTTGATTCGATGGAGTTGAAGGACCGAAAAAAGAAAAGATAGTGAAGACTTTGATATCACTAAAGATGGAAAATAAATAGAAGTTGAGGATGATGAGATGAGATTGTAAGGAGATATAGATATGTGAGGTCTATTAATTTTATTTTAAATATCTAAAGTATACATACATAATTAAAAAATAATAATAATAAAGGCACAATAGTCTTTTTAGGTAAGACAGGGACCAAACTTGTAACAAAATTAAACAGTAGGGATCCTCCGAGTTAAAAAATAAATTAATTAAAAAATAAACAATAAAGATCATCCGAAGAGATACAAATATGTGGAGTCTATTAATTTTTTTTAATATGTAAAAAATAAATACATAAATAAAAAAATAAATTAAAAAATAAATTAATAAGGACACAATAGTCTTTTAGATAAAACAGTGACCAAACACGCAATAAAAATAAACACTAGGGGCCATCCAAGTTAAAAAAATAAATTAGAGACAAAAAAACAAATTCCCCCAAACCACATGGACCATTCGTGTAATTTACTTTTACTTTTTGTTTTGTTCATATTTGGGTAACTATTTTTTTGTATATATCTAGGTAACGAACTTGTTGAAAGTGTTTGCATCTAGGCTTTAACCTGCTATAGCAGGTCATAATGGTCATATGTGAACATTTCCAACAAGTTTGTTACCTAAATATGTACAAAAAAAAAGATAGTTACCTATATGTGAACATACCGAAAAGTTAATTACCTTGGTAAGTCATTTTTCCTAACTATATATTGGAGTAGAGTGAAAGATGAACTTTTAATGATTGTCGACCATTGCGTTATACACTTTATCAAACTGAGCACTTTGGCAATACTAATATGGTCTTAAAAAGAGATATATGTCCCTACCCAATTGCATTTGCGGCCCTCAACCAGAACTCAATAAATCACGTGTAAAATACGTTCTTGTCCATATGCTATTGATCAAAAGAGTTCATTATGGTGTAAGTTTACTAAGTTCCCATGTATATAGTATCCGAATGGTGCAAGATATTCTCTTGATTTACTAGATAGTGATGATTTTTAGTGCATTAAATTGATTCCACCAATTTTTTTTTAACATGTGAATAGGTATATATATATTTTTTTGGAACTGACAAATATATTATAATAAAATAAAGAAAGCCTCGACTAGCAAGGAGCTAGAGGAAGCAGTATATTTAGTTTTACATAATTCTTATATCATATTGCGCAACAATTGGAATTCAATTAAATAAAAGGACATGAGCACCAAGTGGCCCAGTCATGAACTATTGTTGAGCTCCTATATTTCATCCAAGTGTATACCGTCATTTGGATGTCATCAGCTACCCGTGTGGGGTTAGTGATAAGTCTTTTGAATATCCTTTCATTCCTAGCCATCCAAATCCCCCGCAGTGTACTGTAGCACATGCCGATTATGACCCTCCTCTTCTTCTTACATGTGCCCTGTTTTGCTGCATATTCGATCAGCTCTCGCACTGTGTTAAGTTGAACTTGAGGCATGTTGCACTGTAACATACACGTTTTGAAATCGTGTTTTGTAATGAATAAAATTGTGAAATACTATGTGAAATTGAGTGTTGAGTTCTAACATATGGTTTTTACTAGAAATGAAGTAAAACTATGTTTAGAATCACTCAAAAAATATTGGAAGTCTTATGAGATTCCAATTAAAAGTCAAATAGTGAAATTTAGCGAAAATATAAAATTTTAAATAAGTAAAATTTTATTATTTGATGTTGTAGAGAATCTCGTTAGAAACTTGTAGGCGAAAACCTCGTCGAAATCCGAGTTATAACGAAGAAGTTATGACCAACCGAAGATCCGCGATAAAACCGGCACGGCGCCGAATGACGTAAAAAGTGAGTTTTTGATAAACTACTTTTAGCCTTAGTAATCTAAATGAAAGTCATAGTATTCGTTAAACCGATAAATTCGATAAAAAGAACGCCAAAATTTGACTTCGTATGAGGAATGTATGATTTTTCGAAGTTTCAACTTAGCAGTAGACAACTAAAAACTCGAATTTTAGATCGAGCGATATTTGACCGATACATCCTAAACGAGAATCGAAGGTCTCGTCATTTGTAGTACAACAGTAAAAAGTCTGACGAAAATGGATGTCGGATGAAGAAGTTATAAATTTTTAACGGATTTTCCTATCCCGGTCTGTTAAAAATAATAATATTAAAAATAAAGTCAAAATTAGCCGATGAAGTCTAAACGAAAGTTGTCGAGTGTAATTTTAGCTACGCGTGCATATAAAGAACGTAAAAACGGAGCTCGTATGCGAAAGTTATGGATTTTAGAAGTTCGGGGCCCGAAAACCGAGAATTCTCGCATGAACAGTGTCAGCCACGTCACCTCGCACAAAGCAGCAGCGTCACCAGAGACGTGGCCAAATCTGAAGCCGGTGTGTGTCGCAAGTTGATTCGCCGAGGCCGAGGTCCAGCAAGAACGAGACACGTCTCGCATCGGTGGCCAGTCCAACGCGAGACACGTCCGCCTACCTGCCTCACATCCGAGCCACGCTGTCCGAGCCTCGCATGTGCGCCAACTCCCCTCCTCTCACTTCGTAGCCTTCGCTCCAGCAGTCGCGTGTCCCTTCTGCCAGCACACCTCCAAACCTCGGTGTAACAGCCTGGAATTTCCAGGTATTTATTATTGGTATATTTTTGGAGAATTGTGAGTGGACTCGGCGAGTTGGAACCCAAACTCGCCAAGTAGGATCGTGATTTTGGACGCGGGTTCGCGTCTGGACTCGGCGAGTCCACGCTGTGTAATGAAACCCTAATTCCCAGGGTTTGAAACCTATTTAAAGGGCCTTATGGCCGTCATTTGTGCTCACCAATCCATAGAGAGAAACCCTAGAGTGCTTGAGCGTTTTGAGAGAGAAAGGAAGCCATTCTTGACCTTTGTGGTGTTGTTTAGCAAGAAGAAGGAGGTCCTAACCAAGAGGAAGCAAAGGAGGTTGCTATACTGTGGATTTGAAGCTTAGATCATCGCACTTGAGGTATTATTTCAGCTCATCTTCTGTTTTATGAAGTATATTTGGATTTAGGGTTTCTTGTGGCCTTTGTTGGGTTGATTTGATGCCCAAATAGTCCCTTTCTAGTGATGAGGCTTTGGATCTGGATCCATAGAGGTCCAGAGAGC